CCCTCCTTCCCCTCCTTCCCCTCCTTCCCCTCCTTCCCCTCCTTCCCTCCTTCCCTCCTTCCTTCCTTCCTTCCTTCCTTCCTTCGCTCCTCTGGTTGTTTTGTGTGTTGTTGTTGTTCTTTATGTGGGCGGGGGGTTCTGCAAGGCAAGAAGCAAGGAAGGAGGCAAAGAAGGAAGCAAGCGAGGAAGATGAGGAAGCAAGGGAGGAAGCAAGCAAGCGAGCAAGCAAGCAAGGAAATAACGCAGGAAGGATGAAAGAGCAAAGTAGCATGCAAGAAAGCAAGGACGCAAGAAAGGAGCAGAAGCTCCTTTTGGGGTGAGGGTTGCAGCGAACTCATATGTTTTTGCTGCGCTTCGTGTGCAGCACAATGTCCGCAAACTACACAACTTAGACCTAATCGCCTTACCGGCCTGCCCCTACCTACCAAACCCCACCCAAAGATCATTTGCAAGCGGTTCTACCTACACACCGCTTGCAAACACAGCAACTGAGAGCATCCTTTGTACCAAAGCATTGTCGAGCGCCGGTGGGCCATGCCCGCAAAACAATGTCCTAAACCTAAAAAGACAAACACAAAACAAATCCGAACTCTTTTGAACGTGTGATTGTTCTCCCTCTTTCTTCTTTTCTGTTCTGCTGTCCCCGTGGAAGGTCCAACCCTTTGCAGAAACATGCAGAAACATTGGGTAGCTCTTGAATCTGCTGGCTGCTTGTTTAACGCTGGATGAACGCACTAGCCTGCTATTATGCAGCCGTTCGGTTTTGTCTCATTCATTTTTGCGGTTGCGGTTGCTGAATGGGAGGCTTACACCTCCCCCCAGAGCGGAGCAAACCGCCTGACCATGGCTCAGTGGGAGCAACTTCAGGGTGTACTTCTTTGGGCCGAGCCTACCCCAGAGCCGCTTGGCATGAAATTGCTAATCCAAGACCTGCGATGGGCAAGTGATGTAAAGTGAGAGGGTTTGGCATGTGAAAGCATTATGATTCCAGAGTTTCAGATCCAACTTGGCTGGCTGCTCGTTGATTGAATAGACTTTAAGTCGGACACAGGAAAGTCCATACTTGCCCCTCTTTGCTGTAGAAAGGTGAATGTATGTATAATTCGCAGGAATCTCGCGTTGGTATTTTTTGGGGCCGTGCATGTCCCGTGAACAGCTTGTGTCACTTGTGTGGGGGCTTGGTCCAGTGGAAGGCTTGAACCCGGACCCAGCCACTTCTTTTTCACAAGCCCACGAAGCCTCCCATTGGACCAGAGCCTCTTATGCCACTGTGAGTCGTGAGTCATTGTGCCAGGCCCCCCGTTCGGCTCAAACGTGTTTCGGTTCCCAAACGACAGGAAAGTGATGGCAGCAATCTGGCTTCTAGCAGTGCGGCCCATGGGCAAGTACAGGCACGGGCTTTTTGGGAAGCTCGTTCAAACGAATGAGCAGCTGAAGAAAGCTGCCCAAGGTGCAAAGAAGTTGAGAGGTGAGCAGCAACATTTCATTTTGTAACAGACATGGTAATATACAACAATATATAAAAATAAGCGGTTGCCCATGTGCTGTGTGGATGACTGCATGCTTGAAGAATTTTGAAGATGTTTGAAGCACTTCGTGGCCACCCAGATTCTGCAGATTCTGGAAGTGATAGCCGTCGCCAGGGCAGTGACATCACAGCTCCCAAGCCATGCACAGCGGCCAGACCAAGCAGTACGGTACATCCTTGCCTCTTGGCAGACCGCGTGGGTTGCTTGGGGGTGCTGGCTCTACCTTGCATTCTACCAGTCAAAGCAGTTGTCTCATTCCGGACATGTGAAGCCGCAACTTGGCTCTGAAGCAAGTGGCAAGTGCTACTTGTTTAAGTCATACGAGCAGTGTGAAGGTTTCAAACTAAGAAACCTTCCAACTGCGCCCCACCGCTCTAGCAGCAGAAGCGAAAATAGATGAATCATCGTTGGTTGGAATCAGCACTCCCAGGATCCTATGAAATCCACTGAGGGCACCCGCATTTGAAGTTTGGATATTATGCAAAGGAACGCCGAATTCATCGCGAAGTCGCATCGAGATTCAACATGGGGCTGAGGCTGGCTATCCCCTTGTGTCACCTTCTGGCGATGCCTTAACAACTCACGTCCGAGCCTTTGTGAGACTTGGCCACTGACAGTCCGGAGTGCGAGAACTCAAGAGCCGCGGGCAACACTCAGTGGAGGGTGTCGTCAAGACTTGCCTGGTTGGAACAGAGACATTTTTGCATACACACCTTCCAAATGCAAATAAGCACCAGCACCAACAGCGAGCACAGCCACTCAAACTCTTGGGCAAGGTTATAGTAGTTTTGTTATGTGCCGCTGGTGGATCGTGCTTGTGATGCAGCAGGAAGCTCGTGAGCGAACTTTTGGGGACTCCTTTGTGGAGACTCCTGGTTAGCAAGCCTACTTGAGGACATCCACTCTTGAGCTGCAGCTGGATTTCAACTTTGCACAGATGTTGCAGGGTGAAAACGCTTCTTGACGGCAATGTTGCTGTTGTTTGCATCGCGAGCGAGCGCGGCCTGCAAGAAAGCAGTAAGCAGATCTGGAGCCAACATGCCAAAGAAGCAGACGTGCGGCACCCCCTTCAATGGTAGACAGTTTGTGAGTGTGCACAAGGTGCCTAGCAAAATTCGTGACTTGTGGAGGTGCCGGCCAACCTTTTGCAACTGAAAGAGTTCATCCTGAAGAAGAGCGGCGGCTTAGCGATTTTTGATCCATCGCATTCGGCGTTTGTTGGCTCCCCGATTTTTGGGTCCTCGGACCTCCATGTGATGTGACCCATGAAAGAACCCACTTAGGCGAAGAGACTTTGAAGTTCTATGTGGCTGGGCATCGATTGGGTTGCAGGAGCATCCAGAAGAAAGGACGGTGACAACTCTTTTGTCAACTGCACATCTAGCTCTTACGCAAAGCAGCCAGCCAGCTAGGAGTGTGAACTAAACTCGCCACAACACTTGCCACAAAACGTGAGAGCCGCTGAACTAGTGCTCGTTGGGGTTTCCAGTGATCTCAGGTACTGTTTCTGCTGGGATTCCTGAGTGGTCTAGCTGGTGGCAATGGCTCCCGCTTTATGAACTGCAGCAATGCCCGGTCCACGATTCCCGGGCTTCACATCCTCATGCGGGTCTTGGAGAAGGACCCGATGTGTGGCGGTTTGCTGTGGAAACCGCGAGCGCTTCTCGTCGCTTCACAGCAGCCAGTTGTTTCATTTCGCAGTTTTGTTCAGGTCTTCCTCTATGACCCTGGGCGTATCTCATGAATCATGAGCAGTTTTGATTGTTTTGCTCTGCCTGTATTCAAGCTAGGGTCTTACCCATGGTGGGAATGGCCCGGCGGGTGCAGGAACCCACAGCACTTTACTGGACCTACATCCACAACCGTGCGGTGGACTTGGGCCGTCAGCCATCCAATACGGCTGATCTTGCCGTGGTGCGCTTGGCCTGTCCCTTGGAACAAGAAGCTAATAGGAACAAGGGCATCACTACTAGTAGCTCCTGGCATTGCTACTAGGAACAAGAAGCTACTAGGAACAAGGGCACTCCTACTAGGAGCAAATAGCATGTTAAGGAAACTTCCAACCACTCCGCTCCATGAAGACTGCTGGAGAGCAACCGAGAAGGCCCTCACCAGGCGACGGCCAACACGAAGGTCTTGATAAAGCACCGTTGCTGCGGAGGTAGTCTTGTGGGGACGGGGTTCGAAGTTTTGGTGTGTTGAGCGTCCATAGCATGACTCCCATCCTACACTTCACCGAATGGTCAACCCTGTCAACCTTCAATCATCAAGCCAAGAAGCACCCTTTTCCAGCTGCATGATGTATGTGGTGTCTCCACTGTGCCTCAGAAGTTCAGGCCGGCTGTTGACTTTGAAGAGGTACACATGTTTCCAACCTTGAGGGGCCGGATGATGCCTTATGCAGCAGCATATTCTTCCTTCCTTTGGTTTCATTTGTTCGAACACATCCCAGTCCTTTGGGGACCGTCCAGATCCAAGACGTGCCTAGGCCTGTGCAGGGCACAGAAGCCCAAGGACTTGGCGGGGTTTCACGTCAGGGCCAGACCAATTACAACTCAACACCTGAAGAAAGAGAAACAGAGAACGAGCCAGAGAGCCTTGTCAAAGGCTGCTTATGCCATATACTCCATATCCCGATCTTCTCCTTAAGCATCCTTGACCCCTTCCTCTGCAATGATCGAAACGACCTTTCACGATGTTTCCTTTGCTCTCATCCGAAGGACCTGCAGGTGCTGCAAGAGTCCTGGCAGCAGCTCACGAGTGCCGAACAGCGCAGTTTATTGCAGCACTTTTTAGCGGATGGCGTGGTCAACCAGGCCATTGTCTTTGAGTTTCTGGGTATGGCATTCATCAGCCCATTTGCTCCGCTCTTAGATCCCCAAAGAAGGGGGTGGTTGACCTCATTGACTCATGTCCAGTCCACCCAGTCAATCCGATCACTACAACATACCTGTATACTGTATATAGTTTGCTAATAATTCAAGCTTTTTCATCCCAATGTCTATCTTGATGCACTGGTCAGCAAGCTGCTGGCTGCTACGAGAAGGACAAAAGGCTCAGCTCTTCAAGCAACACTACCATGGGCCAGGAGTATAGAGAATAGTCGTAAAGTCTAGGCAAGAAATGACGAAGGCTCTCCAGCTCCACACAATAAACCCCGCCGCAATCATAAACCTCCGACTCAAATCAAAAGGCAAGTGAAAGGAGTTGAACGTGACATGAAGGCTTTAAGTATTTTTCAGGACTTGGTGGAAAACGATGTTTGTTACTTGCAGTTGTTTATGCTTGTATGTTCGGGACTTTCCTAAGTAAGGGTATCCTTTGTCAGGGTTTTGATCATTACATTTGGCACGTAATAGTTGAGTAGTTCAGAGTAAAAGCATAAATCAAAGAGAACTGAATTGCTTTTAAGCTTCATGGACATTGTCATCTATTTTTGGCAGCGGGTTTGCTTATATGTTCTCGGCTTTCCTAAGTATCCTTCGCCAAGTTTTTCAGTTTTGTTAAAGACGGGTGTTATAAAGAGATTGACTGTTCTGATTTGTGTCCACACCTCGGAATCTGAGATTTTTTGCAAGACACAGATGCAATTAAATCATGTAATTCAAATATCTATTGTATATATAGTTGAAGGTATAAACAATTGGACTCCTTGGAACGTACGTCCATTTGATAAATGTAATGTTTGCTAAACTCAATTTAAACGAGCATTGTTTTTGAGATCAAATTGCATGAGCGTTTCTGATTTTTGGACAACACATAGGTCTATTAGTGCATTTATTGAGATGACATTTGGCAAGTGTTGGATCAAACTACACGAGTATTGTTCATTTACCTAGTTTTTTGGGTGGTTTATCGGCTTCCGTTAGGTAAAACAAAGTCCCCGCACAGTGTTATGTACCCCCAAGTTCCTGACAACTGGTGAGAAAACCTGTGAGGTGTAATGAACCCTAAACAATAGCTTCTGGCCTTGCACAGAATGACAAGGGCATTTCTTGTTGTTTGCGATGGCTCAGGTTCCTGCCGCTGTGCTTGGAGCGCGCCAAATCCAACGCTTTCGTGACAATCCCTGTGCTGCTGCAGGCCCCTTTGTGGGATGTACGGGGCGGCAGCACTCCAAAGGGGCCGAATGCAAAAGGCTTCGGCAAGCATCAGCAGACAAGCAAACCTTTCAGCGTCGGATCCAGCCCTGCAAGCCAGTGTCCCGCACTTGTGTTTTCAGTTGTGTGTCCGCCAGGTCCCGGAGGCGGGTGTATCTTAGGAAAACTACTGATGAGTGCGTGCCTAAACTTGTGGTCCTTGGTGTTTGACTCCCCCATCGTTATATACTTATATATATATATAAGCTAGTCTTCATGGAGTTTGGAACTCTTGGACCCCAAGGTCTCAGGCGGAGCTACGTCCTTCGCGGGCATAGAAGTGGATCACAGCAGAGCTTCACAGCATATCCCTTGTCTGGGTGAGTCAACGCTGGATCCCGTCGTTTTACTATGTTTTACTTTGTTTATCCGTTCACCGCAGCCACAGCCAGAGAGAAGATCAGTGAAACTCTATGGCTGCTGGGCTGGCAAAATTTATATTCACTGTCCAAACAGAGCAAGAAATTGCAAATACCTTACTTCGAGTGACCCCCACCATGGCATTGTACTTTGCTGATAACCCATGGCTATAATATTGTTATGCTTATATTGCTTCAACATCAACAAGAAAGTGTGTATCTTGAACATATGCTGGCATACATTATGGCATTCTATTTGGCATATATTCTGGCATTCTATCTTTGGATATATTCTGGCATTCTATCTGGCATATATTCAGGCATATCTGGAATTCTGGCCTTCTATCTGGCATAATTGCTGACATTTTTTCTGGCATTCTTTCTATCTGGTTCAGGCCCGGGGTGCCCGCTGCATCTAGCGCTCGCGGTTCAGGTCGGGCGCTACCCACTGCGATCTGGCACGTGTGGAGGGGGTTGCGAGAAGGAGGAGGAGGAGGAGGAAACCAGCTCTGATAGAATCTAACAGCCCTCGCCTGGCAGGTGGGGCAAATAGCTTTCAGCGCAGGCTGAATAATGCCCGGGTGCCGCGGACCCTACGATGTCAGTGGTTGTTGGTGGGTGCTGGTAGTTGGTTGAGTGCCTCCCAGCATGGCACTGAAGAAGTTTCGCCACTCGTGTTGGCACTGAACTTTGTCATTTTGGCACTGGGACAAAGCCGCAGGGAACCGCAGAAAGAGTGCCCAAACGTCAACTTGGAAACTACGGAAAGTGGTCTCGCCACAGCCTTAGCCCACCGAGTTCTGTGAGTCCAAAGCGGCGTTCCCCCTTATAGGCATCGGTCAGGTCGGTGCCGGCAGGCTATTGCCCAAGAGGCCCGCAATCCTGCCTATGTCAGCAATCCATGTACGACGCGGATGGGCTTGACCACAATATACCACAATGAATCCTACGTCCACAAACTACGCACACACTCTCTCAAACTCAGCGCGGGTTTGTGCTAGCTTCGCTTCAGGGCGGTTGCAGGACAGATATGGTTTTCTAAACGCAAGGTACGCGCAAAGGGTTGAGGTGCTTTTGGCATTGGCACTGGGTTTCTAGGAGCCTGCGTGCAGATAGAGGCAACACCCAGGGTCTTCAATATTAATCAATGAAAAACGAACTGGCAAACCCCGCCGGCCCAAACACTGAGCAGGCTGTGGACTTGCTAGCTTCTCTGAGATTACTCTTGTTGTTTGAAGGGGGTGCCACCACGGAATGGTGGTTAAACGGTCCGTCTATATCATACATTTTTTTATTGTGTATATATACATACAGATATACTCAACCTATACGCTTCCTACATCTTCCAACGCAGCGGTTAACACTTTCATTTCCAGTTTTCAGGTGCTGGTGGAGCTTTTAGCTGCCGTACGTGCAGTAGCGCCCAAAGCAGTGGCCTCTGTGGTGCCCAGAAGCTTCTTGGCCCTCACATTTCAGCCATGCTCCGAAAACGCGACGATCAGTCCGATGGCAGGACGGCTTCAAGAACTCCAGCCAACCCTGAAATCTTATCAAATCCAAGCTGGTTCGGTGGTCGGCGGTCCGTGGTGGAGAAAAGTTTGAAGGCAAAGGCTGAAGTCATTCGTTCATTGATCAGAAGGGATGGGCCCGCTTGTTTCATGTTTTGTATGGTGGCAACTACGTGGGGGAAAAAGGTATACATTTATAATTAGGGGTAGTGACTGGATAGTGCAAAAATGAATGTGACCTTGCAACGCAGGCTTGCCGAGCAAGTCAGAAGGGTGTTTCGATGGTCGCACTTGTTCAGGCTCGCTCAACACCATTCGAGACACAGGCGGGGTGACCGGTGGTGCTCCAATGTGCACAATGAAGTGAAAGTACTGGCAGCCTGGCAGCCATTGCTGCCAATGAGCAGACCTCAGTGAAGCTTGCCTGTTGATGTTTGCGCCGAAATGTCCAAACTCATGACCTCCGAACGAACGTTCCTTTGTCGGGGGCCGACCAAGGAACCACGGTTCCTGTTGGGAATGGAACTTTGAATTTTCAGGAAGGAAAAAACACTTCCTTTTTTTCCAGGCAGCAAGCTTCAGACCTTGTCCGTCGACCTGGCAGACCTGGCTGCCTTCATCTTGATGGTGCAAAACAGCTCCACAGTCTTGACAGTCTATGAAAAGCTTTCTTTTTTTGGTTGGTAAATGCCCAGGAAGGGGGTAGGCTGTGAGGAGGTTTAAGTTAGACAAGTAAGTGGGAAGCTGGCAGCCAGCTACAGCGTAGACGGGCTGAGCGGCCGGATTTGGTCCCTTAGATGTTTTTGGAAACTCAACTTAGCGATGGTGTTCAAACTGAGACGGTCCAGTTCTTTTTGTACCGAAGTGAACGTGTGCTGCTAGCGTCACACCCCTTCATCCAATATGATCTCATAGGAGACCCTTGCGGCACAGCTACAGGTATGCCTCCAAGAAAGCGACTTAAAGTCCATGCAAGGCGGCTACAGAAGAGTGAAATGCAATCTTCCTGCCTCAACCCTGGGCCAACATTTGATCCGTTTTCATGTTTTAATGGTGGCTCCTCGTATCATCTCGTATCTCCTTGTACCTCCTCGCGCTCACATTCCCAAACCAGTGCCCAAACCCTATCCAATTTCATGACGTGCGAAGTCACAACTGCAGAATGGCAGAGACTGTCCCTTGTTGTCCAGCTGCTTGAGGCTACATCTTTCAGACTTGCCTGTGCCGAGCGAAGTTGCGTTTGATTGAGCCTTGATATGCAAATAAAGTGAGCCACTTTAGAAAACAATCTTGCTGGTGGCATTGATATAATTGATCATCCATTGAGCCCACTTGCAACACATCAACTTGCAACGTGTAATTACATGTAACAATCATCGTAAGTACAGTGAACTCGATCTTCTTTTTGCTCAACAGTATTTGTTTGAACTTATCTTTGCCTAGGGCGGCCGGCTGGTCTTGGAGGTGTCCCAGGAGAACTGGCGTCGAGCCCCGTGGCGAAATGGGATGAGAGTGCGGCGCAGCTCGCAGTTGAATGCGCATGCCACAGCAAGGTAGATGCAATCCAGTTGCTGTCACTGACAGTCACGATGGTTCCCCGAATCTAGCCAAACCTGAGGAACACAATAGAGCTAGGATCAGGCCATATCGCACATCTACGAAACATCCTTGCCATGAACATCCTGTACCCCCTTATCGTCCAGTGGCTCCGCCGCGATGGTGTAAATGCCCCAACACGGTAGACGACAATCCAAATTTGATCCATTTTGCTTCGAAAGCCACAATATGATGTGCACCGTCACTGTCCTCTCAACTCTTATATAACTTAACATCCAGTTCTTCCATTCATCAGATTGCCCAACCCAACCTGCCCCCTCAGCTTCATCCCACCGTTTGAAGATATGACGTGATATGATCACGGCGTCCCTTAGTCCATAGAAGGAGGCGGTTTGGAGGTTCCGACCGCAGGAAGCTGAGTGTGGCGGGATGATGGGCCAGACATGATCACCAACAATTGTGACCTGTTGACCCGGGTGCATGTCCTCAGGTTCGGGAACCCCACACAGATGTCATCATGCTGGCAAATTCCGTCCGGGATCTGGTGAAGCACCACAAGCAAGAGAAGGCAGGTGTGCGCAGGGACACCCTTTAAGCGGGACAGCCATGCACTGCCAATTTTTTGGAGCAGGAACTCAACGAGAAAATATTTATTCACCATTCTTGAACTAATAATCATTCTTGAACTATAGTAATATATCATAAGAACATTCTTGATCTATAATATCTATAATCATCAGAATTATATATATATATATAGTAATCATTCTTGAACTCCACTACAGCTATGTTGAACATTCTTGAACTAATCATATGACCTGCACTGTGGAGGATGGTCAAACTGTCCACTGTGTCAGGAGAACGGAAATACAGCTATGGGAGTGCCATTGGACTTGCAGTTCGTGGAGAGTGAGATCTTTTGAGCGAAGGGCATGGACTCTGATTCTTCACAATAAGCATTGGCTTCCGGGCGCGCCCCTTTTTTTGGCAGTTTTTTGGGGCTGTCTATGAGAACTGAGTGTTGGGTCGACTTAATAAGTTGATGGGCATGATCAATCATCGGAAAGAACAATATAGCACCGATTCTCATCGCAGCAATTTGTGCCCATTCCTGGTTTCGCCGGAGTCAAGTGGATTACACTCCACAGGATGTTGGTTTGGTGTTTTGCTCCTAAGCAACAGAAGTCAGGCCTTCCATGGCCTAGCCACTATTCAGGCCAAAGAGGTCTTGGCTAAGGTGGCACATGTCACGTGTCCTTTGCTTCTTGTTTGGTTTGGTCTCTTTTTTTATTTTGCAGATGTTCACCGAATCCTTAAAACAAGTATATAAGTGATTCTAACACTTGCATAATTTGGTATCATTTGGTCGATGGGAGGTCCAAGATCCAAGGTTGATCCAAGGTCGATCACTCCGACACTCGGGACACGACGTGCTGCCCCCCACGTTCGGGACACGACAACAGGGGAGATGCTGCACACCGAACTCGGGTTCCGTGCAACACGACCCCGGGTCTTCGGTTGCCATCTCGAAATCGATGGATTTTTGACTTCTCACAACTTGGCCCTGCTTCCTTAGGGAGGAATGCTCCAGATGATCTTGTTTGGTTATCCAAGGTAGATCACTACGTGGCTTCTTCAGGTCGGAAAGTTGGGAGGGACTAATTCTCCCCACCGCTTGATTCGCCACTAGTCGAGCCTCCCATTTGCAATCCATTTGCTTGGGGATTCGGTGTAGGACTGCTGGGTTCCCTCTGAGGGAGGATTTCCCAAAAGGACACTGGAATCTCCCACCCCGAATCCATTTCAACGCTTCTTGCGGACCCAACGACGTTGACTTCCTGGGAGCGAGGGCCATGTAGAACTCCAATTTTTTGAACTGGCTAAAGCGGCGAGCGGTTGGTGCCCTCGACTTCTCAGTGATGGCGCAGAATTTCACAAGAGAGCCAAACCGTTTGATTTGGATATATATATATCACATGATATCACTGTGAACGCATGATTTGTGTCAGACTTGGTGGCAGTGTTGCGCAGATTGCTGGAATTCTTGTGGAGGCGGCATCAGGCCCGCATACAGGATGGATGTTTGTTCGGCTCGAGAAGATTCATCGTCCTTTGAGTTTTATGTCCTTTGAGAGCTTGATTCCATGATCATGACTTTACACAGCAGCTTTGGAGCTTCTCCTCTGCTGGATAAGGCACACCACCATAAATGGTTATTCTATTCCTCGTAACTAAGTTTGTCGAGGGCAACCAGAAGCAACAGAGGCGGTGAGAACCACTCCTAATTTCATTCTGTTTCACCACCTGTGCGCTTGTTGGATCAGCAGCCAAGCTCATGGAGAAAGGGGCAACTTGACACCAATAATGCAATATCCACGGTGATCGCGAAAGTCTGCACCTGACATGACTGGAGTGCTCAGCTTGAGTTTCCGTGCGCGTGAGCTCGGCTCAAGGTGGGATCATCGGAACGTCGGTAAGTATATATGTCAGTATCGAACGCCAGCCACCCGCAGCGCCTAGAGGCCTAGAGTCCGTCCCCGCACTGAGTGAACAAGACATGCGCTGAAGAGTCGAGTGTTTTTTTACTGTCAAGGATGCACGTTACACACCTATATACATAATTATGCTTCCCAGACATCTAATTACTGTAGAAGGCCTCAGGGGCCTCAGGAGGCCCAATCCATTTCTGTTGGCTCTTTGACGCAGCTTTGATGGCCAAGCTGCTGGAGAGCCGCTCGAAGGAAGACAGAGAATGGCTTTCCCCACCTGGAATGTCCTAAAGATTGTGGGGTCAATCGCCATGACCTGATTGTTGATTTCCCCCCCCAACAGTTTACTGCTGGGGTTCTCAGGAAGAAAGCGCTAGCCAAAGTGGCTGGCCGCGCCCCTGAACTCTGTGTCCGGGCTCTGTGTCCAGGTCTTGTCCTCCTCTTGTCCTCTGGCCGCGCTGGTCCTCCCATTGTCCTCTTCTTGTCTCTTGTCCTCCAGTTCTCCTCCTGCTGCTGCCGTCCTCTGGCCACGCTGGCTAACCCTGTGTCCTTCTCTGGTCCTCCTGGTGTCCTCCTGCTGTCCTCCTGCTGTCCTCCTGCTGTCCTTGTGCCACTGCCACGGTTGCAAACCCTGTGTCCTCCTTCTGTACTTTGTCCAGGTCTGCCTCTCCTGCTTGTCCACGTTGTCGGCACTTTTATCATCGCCTTGTCCGGACCTTGCCCCTTGCTTGGCCATGCCGCCTTTTCTTTCTCCACCGCCTTGTTTGGGTATGTTTTCCTGTGGCTATGAATGCAACAGTGATACAGCGGTTGAAATGTGATATTATCACCCGCGGATTTTCTCATGACATATATCATGTCCGATACCCCATCGTTTTGTGCACATGTGACACGGGCATCAGGAACTAGTGTTCTCAGACATTTATATATTTATTGTTTAGGTGCAACTCCCAAACAGCTGGAGGCTATAGAAAAGTATACTTGCAGGCGTTTCCACCAACATTGGAATTCAGGAGTTGGCGCCGATGCCCCCCAAAAGTGCTGACACTGTTTGGAGTCTATGCTGGTATAATGTGCGTTGTTGACAGAACGTTTTCCTCTGGCATCGCGGCCAACGGGGGTTGCTTGTCCCATTGCATGTTTTTCATCAAAGAGTGACTCAAACCGTACGTGTGACTTGTGTGTTTGGTGGTGCAAGGTTGAGGTTAGCCATGGGCCGGTGGGCCAGATGACCGGGTGGTGTTGAATGAGATGCAGCTGTGCCTTCTCCTTTCATCAGGCTCTTTCCTTACCCACTCTTCCTGGTGGTTTTGCTCACGCAAGGGTGCTCCTTGGGGTTTCGGAGACACTCTTATCACCCAACATTCTTGGCAGTGTCCGGTGGTTGTAGATTGCCTGTTGGTTGGGTCCGCGTTCTATTCTTCAGGCCACGCTTCCCCCCACCCCATGGGCCCCACCCAGTAGAATGTTTGGTGGTTGAATCTCCTTTCACCTTTTCCCCTCTGAAAATGCGAGTGAGTGTTCAGTGAGGTTCAGTGCTTGAAGTGCGCAAGTGAGTGCTTGGCCCCCCTTGTCACTTATATAGTTCCCGGTTTTCTAGGTTTTCTCACGACGTTTCTTGTTTTCTCATCGGGCCAGTCCGCTTAGTTGGATGTCGCTGAAAACGATTGCTTACATATTATAGCATCCTATACTGTATATAACGGTACTCCCTTTTCTTCCGAGGCCTTCAGCGCTTGGAGGAGGAGCTCCACAAAGCAATCCAAGAGGTGCGCACACAGGTGCGGCGTTTTTCGCGGCCGAAGCAACGGAATCAAGGGACCACGTTCGTGTGGGCGCGTGGGCGGACGACCGATGGACGAACTACTGCATATCCTGAGCAATTCCTTGCTACCAGTTACTGGTAGTAAGGCACCTTGCTACTGGTCCCAAACTCTCGCAACACCTTCGACCTTCGACATTGGGCCCCTTGTTTCCGTGAACCAGACCCTGGCACCGTCTCCGACATCGAAATATTCATATGAATCCATATACAATGCTTTGCCAACCTGAGTGTGAGAACAACAGGCCCCAGACGAAACTTCGAGACATGGAACTTCGAGCTGCCATTTAAGTTTATGACAGGGTTCCTTTTGATGAAGGACATCTTTGTCTATGTCACCTCTGTCTGTGTCAGTGATCAATTGCACTTTCCGTAGAAGCAGGAAGAAATCATTCTCGAAGCTGACAATGACGGATCTCATCCAATCTTCTTTTTGACTCTATTTAGAGAATGTGTCGGATGTTCTGGTGTCGTTGCCTTCTTGCAGAGCAACCACCTACGGGTCAACACCACGCCGACCACCCCCTGGAAGGTGCGAGAGTTGGATGGGCCAGATGACAAGCCAGAGCAGATAGAGGAGGTGCGTGGTAGAGTTCTGCACGAGAATCGAAGAGAGGTGTCATTGGTACTAGGCATGGGGTTGCTCCTATTCTTATGAGGGGGAAGGAACGGAAGAGCGTTGCAATCATCGCTCTTGAACAGTTTTCTCCTTGCAGCCTGGTGCACCAGGCTGCAACCACAAGTGTGGATATATTTCAGCAAGAACCTCCGGCTGTGATGGAACAAGTGATGCGAGACTGGCCCGGAACCATCAAGCCTGAGATGACCATCCGTGCCAAGCAGCATGCCGCACCTGGGGTCGCAAGAGGTGTAGGAACCGTGGAACACAGGACGGCCAGGTATCCAGGTTCGCGAACGGCCGCGAGGTGCCTCGCTTTGCAGGCTCATGCATGCTTTGCAGGTTGAGCTCGTCCAGCTGGTCCATGTTTTTTTCCCGGTGAAAAGTGACATGGGCAGGACTGGTCGGATTTGGCCGGACTACCCTACAGTGACCCCGAGAGAGAGAGAGAGAACATATATAAAAAAATATATATATATATAATATATATATCTATCTGGTGGGTCTGAGGCAATCCTGCACGAGACGGAAAACAGCGAGCAGCTGAATTTGCTGCTTGGGTTCAGCTGATGGATGGGTTGGTGGGTCAGTGGATGAGGCGACTGAGTCACTGAGTCTGAGGTGTCTCACATGAGGGGGTTTAGATTTTCTCGTCGAGTGCCCTTCACAGCCCAGGCAGCTAAGTCCACATTTCATGGAGCTTTCTATGCGATCAGGCCAGCATCGAGCCTACCCTGCTTGAGCTCACTACTGGTAGTGCGTTTGCAGCAAATGCATGCAGCTTTATGGATCGTCTCGTTGGCATGAAAGCAAGAGCTCGGTGGTTCTGTCGCAGTCACCACCCAGGACAAAACATTGTGCAAGGGACAAGCCGCACAATTCCTAAAGGAGTGGAATGAAGAGATGAAGATGAGTCAACCACTGGTTTGTAGAGGAGAGTCAGGTCACAGGTTGCCTCAGTTTTGGCAGGTTCCATGATATACCTTTGCGGCTCCAGCTTGTAGGTGGTGTTGTCAATGAGCTTTCGAGAGACTTTGTGATAACGCCTATGTCAAGATCAAGCAGGCACACACACTCTGGGCGAACTGAGCTTTGACATGTTATTGAAATATGAGAAAATCTACTCAACGTCTTTGACGACTTGGAACAAACATGGGATCCTTCCAGGAGGCTTTGGAAGACGATGCGTTTTAATTTGTCAGGTATAGAGACTACTGTACATAAAAACTCCACACACACACACATATATATATATATATATACACACATATATAGGTTCGCTTGGGTGGTCTTACTCTGAGCCCGCCGCTATTGCCAGGGTCGACTTGGACTTGCTGGAGGCCCAGCAGCCTAGCTGGGGTGTGGTCAGGCCGCATTCCAGGACTGCTGGAAGAGTACTTCTGTTGTTTCGGGACGCATTTCAGCCATGGAGTTCTGACCTTCCCGTGAGGATGCGCATTTCATGGGACCTCGTTGGCACCTGCAACACGCCAGCAACGGGCGAACTGGGCTTTTCGAGATGTAGCTCAGAGGTCGGTAATGATGGGGAATGTAGATCCCAAATAGATAGAAACGATCACCACTAAGAACGTATTGGAAACCGTGCCACTATCTAATTATTTGGCAACCACTACAATTGTTGTCCTGCTGCAGAGTTCAGTCTACTCTTGCGTTTCATTGCTAAGTACGCACGCCGGTTTGTTGCGTCACCTCCCTTTTGCCAGCGGGGCTGTGCTCAACTTGGTGGACAAGCCGACGGTTGGTGCAGGTCTTTCTTCTTTCTCAGGTCTTATTCTCCTAGATGTGATCATCCTCCCATTGAGCTTGGCGTGGGGGTTTGAGACGGAGCCAATGCGGCCGGCAGTCACCGTAGAGGACGGTAGCCCGGTAGCCGCATCAGCTAGTTGATTCATATGGCCGGTAGAGGCTGACTTGTGGGTCCAAAATCAAGCAAGATACTTTTGAGCGTTCGATCAACGCTCTGGCATTGCACACAAGTAGCGCTTGGAGCGCGGTACACCTCGTCCATGTTTGCAAGAGGTGAAGACATGTGGCAATTCTGAAACATGTGACATGGGCTGCAACTCTTCAAGTTGACTTGACATCATATTACATCATATTGCTTTCAATCAATCACTTCGTTTCCCTCTAGTCGTGCGCCATTCGTTTGTCGGTGTGCTTCTTCGTTCGCCCCCCCGGCTCCCAGATGGGGTCACGTGCATGTCGTGCCTACTGTCTGATCCCATCGGAGGAGGCGTTCCTGGCGGTCTTTGCTTGGCTTAATTTGCTATTCTGGCCAGCGGATTTGTTGTTGAATTTCAACACGGCCTTCTACATGATCCTTGGCACATGTTTTTTTTCGTGTGAGAGTTGAGCGAGCCGCTCCTCGTGTTGGGCGCCCGAGAAGGTGTCATGGCAATCGCGCGAATGCGACATCCGCAAGTCCCGACGCCACAGAAGACGCTCAGGCAAGGGTCTTTGATTACGCGGCGATCGAACATCGCGTGCCACTATCTTCGCCGCTGGTTGGCGTTCGACATTTGCGTGGTAGCTGTGGATTGGGTTTGAACCTCAGTGGTGCAAGAGAGGTATGGGCAGCCGCAAGTTGTGGGATTGTTCGAAATCAATCGATAGCCGATATGAATGTTATATGACAACCTCTCCCAGGTCATGGCAATCACAACGAGCTTCAGCAATGATACAGAGAGCGGTGGGGCCTCGGCTTTGCTTTTCTATCCCATGTCATGTGAGTCACAGTTCATACATGTTCGACAGAATCGCCCCAAATTGGAGTCTAAAGTCGAAGGTCAAGTTGTCAAGGGTTATATACGGGTTCCAAGCTTGATTAAAAAGAGGTATGCCATGCTGAGTTTGGCTGGAGTGGACTGACTTCAGAGCGATTTTCCACGCCCATGGGATGTGACAGGCTATCTTCGGTCGCTGCGCTCTGCCCGCTACTTGCGCGCCCTGCGGAGCATCCGGATCCTCCGTAGCTTGGGCTGCCGGCTGTGCTAGACTGAAGATTTGGAGCACATATGAACAAGTCACCTACCTGCCCATACTTCCCCCAAAGAATCCTAAAGATGCCCCTACTGTTGTTGGTGCCCAGGCATTGTCAAGTCGCGCAGGGTGAACGTCATGATCGAAAATTGGGTGATTGGGCTGGGCCAGCAATGGCTAATCCTGGCCTTCAATGTTTGTCGGATGTTGGCCTCCATCTTGCTGACTGCACATTTGCTGGTATCTTGGCTGCCGAATTCGTACCGAATCTTCGTTTGGGCACACGAATCGGACTTGGACTCGCCACAGACGTTCATCGGCGAGTTACCGGCACTGGCAGCCACGAAATGGGCGAGTCTTGAGATTTCCATCGAGTGCATTTTTGTGAAACATGGGATTGGTCAGACCATGTTGGATCTGTGAGGCCTGCTCCTGGTTTGCCGGAAGCCCAGTTGAAGACTACTCAAACGCTGATGTCAAGGTGGTGTCGAATTCAGCCGTAGCCGGGTCTCATACAAGATTTGCGCTTTGCACTTCTTGAGCATGTCTGCCAGCCGCGCAAGCGCGCTTGAAGTTCCTGTGGTTCTACCAAGCGGTCTTGTGTTCTCCTACCTTGGTCAATCTTCGGACTCATCAAAGGCGGTAGGCTGTGGAAGACACTTACAAGTGTATTTTGGCAGTGCTCATGGCAAGCAGCAAGCCATCGTTTGCAAGTTCCAGTTGCAAGCGAGACTTAGAGAGCCACGCACCTCACCTTTCCTTGCAGATTGCCCGACTCGAGACATGCTGTGTTCACTTCAGTCGCCCGCTCATCATCTCAATCTTACATCACTCTGCAGACCAGGCTGTGGGCACTGCTGTGTCTGGCTTCCGTGAGAGCTGGATCGATTTGGCGGAGATTTGGCCAGAAGCAGGCGAGCTATTGGCTGCGATTGCAAAGAGGGTGTTTGATGGTTTTTGGATGTTTTTGGTGTCTTCATTTTGGGAGGTTTCGCATTGGCCAATGTCTGATGTGACAGCGATCTGCTGTCAAGATTGTCAAGATTCCCAACCTTGAAACACGAAGACCAATAAAGCAGCAATTGCCTGCAAAAAGACCTGATCGCCCAACCTACTGCCTGATGCAACACCTGCTGAGAAAGGATGCCTGACTCAATTTTTTTGCACAGATACATTTGTTAAGCATGTGTGTTTACTGCTTATATAGCCATTTTGTATGGTGTGTGGTTTGCGAAGTGCTTTTGTGCCAATAAACTCGAAAGGCTCCTACGGAGTCTTCATGGCAAAACGTATGCTAACGTATCATTCTATCTTGCGGAATGCAAGATCGATCGTTGGTCTTCAACGTTGTGTGGTTTAGAGAGCCCCAATTCGGTGCTGATGGTTGAGTCCACTGACTCATAGTCAGGTTCCCATGCTGCTGGCACTGCTTTTGGCAGGTCACGTTCAATATATTCACGCCTTGTCCTGGGTGGTTCAGCCGCCCTCAGTGCCAGAGTCTAGGATTTTGGGCAGCGGGAGCTTTGAAGAGAGGCTAGCGCCTTGGCGAGAACTGGTCCGAGCCAACAAAGGCTCCAAGAACTTCCTTTTAAACGGCGACAACTCGTGCGAAGCAACCGTGGGTTTCAGTAGAATTTTCCCCAAACGAACCAGAGGAGGTATCGATACCACAGTTCAAATCAAGTAGAGATTCCTAGTGACTACTGTACTTAGTCTAAGTGCAGCCTATACATTTACTTCGTCAGAAGGATTGGCTTCTTCCTCAGACTTCAATAGTAACAATGCCTGGGGTGCGCACTTTGGATACAGTAGCGCAGTAGATATTTATGCCGTCGGCCTCGCAGCCTAAGGTTTCTATCCTCATGGCCACTGGGCCGCAACGGATGTCGGATGTCCTCGTGTGGGTGGGGCTGTGAGGAAGTCGTCTCAGGCGTTTCAATTGTCCAGCTTTGGATGATAAAATCAACATCTCTTCGTATGGGTCTTTTTTAATTATGAATCAAGAAGTCTACATTATGTCATGATGCGTCCATAAAGATTCCAGACGGTCATTAGCATCGATTTGTTGATCGTTCCATTCATTGGAATGTTTGAACCTTCGCACCAACATCCCACACCATCCCTCGTTTTGCCACATCGCCTGCAAGAACGAGCCGCACTTTCAGTCCGGAACGTCGCATGAGCTTCGCGATGAGCATCCGGGGTCCTGAGGTGGTGGTGACGGTCCTAATCATTGGCTCCTCATTGTCGATCCTCACGGGGACTTTGCAGGAGGGGTCGACCAGATCCCATGCGGTCATCCTTGTGTGAGATGGTAGCGGGGATGTCTTTTGGGCATGCTTTGGAAGAGGTGTTTTTCTTGTTGGAGGACCATGTTGATATGTCATAATTATAATGTTATTTGGGCATCTCGGGGCCATTGCTTGAGGTTTTCTTGTGCTAGCTTGATGTTAGCTTGACACCCTCAAAGTGGTTTGGAGGCAAGCTGGATACATACTTCTTGAAGATTCTTCTGGTGGTCCCCAAATAGATAGAGTTCAGGCGTTTTCTCCGTGCAAAATGTTTGATATCACTACGAAGCAGAAAACATACACTATGAAACATCCTGCCATATTCATTTCAATTAGAATATGGATACCTCAGAACATCTCAGAACATTCCAGATACCTTTTCTTAAAATAGAGGCGGAAAGCTTACATTGCTCACAAGTCTTAGAGATAATATGGCCTGCCTTCCTATGCAATCGAAACTACTCGCTAATTTAGTTCACCATCAATGCAATTGATTATGCAAGCAACTCTTCCAATCAAAGAATAACATTCAACCACCTTAAAGAGAGCTCACTTCACAATGGAAGAGCTATTGGGCCAGAGATGAGGTCCGTAGATTCGTCAGGAGATCCGCACCATCAACAATGAACGCAGCCGCAAGCGAAGGGAGCTGCGGACCTATCTTCATTCCCGAGCAGCGCCCACGGAGCCCATTGGCTTTCATAAATGGAAGATGCCTCTGATTTGGTTGTAAAACTTCTCCATAAATCTCGTCCAGCATCATTGAAACTCCAGGTCCAACTATGTAGAAAAATGGCAACCTTGATGTCTTGTGTTTGCATTTTGTACACCCCCATTTAGTGGTGTTCTTGTAACAACGAGTGGCTTCTTCAGGCTGGTGATGCGCATCATGAGCTTTGCTGATTACAAGCTCGAGCGGCATTCGCCTGTCACTTACGACAGTGACCTAATCTCCCCACTGCTGGACGTTGCGAGGCAGGAATTCATTGTCATAGGTGGCCACAGGATTGGCCCAGAATTTTCTTGGCAAAGTCTGCGGCATGAGGCCACCCACACAGAAAAGCCACTAGAATATTCCAGTGTCTCACCCTTTTGGCTGTTTTCGATTTTATGTATATATAGATTTGGCAGTTCATTTGCCAGGGCTTAGCTTGCACAACTGTAAGTTAGAAGCTTAAACCATTCGCATTCACAAGGACCTACAGAAGGGCCAACTTCTATTTGGCCCCAGTATTCAAAGGAGAATCAATGACCGTAGATTCTTTGATATGTCGTGACCAAAGACCTCCCCACGTTCGCCTGGATTTCAACCCCGTCGGAAGACTGAGCAGAAGGCCCCGATCCATGGCTATAGAGGTTCTGAAGTCTGAAGGTCTGAAGTGCAGCCCACGACTGGGCAATTTTCCTGGAAGACTGATCATTAGCTGCTCTACTGTCAGGTGTCATTCTGATTTGCCAAGGCTGAGTTGGCAGTGTGGCAAAAGGGCCACATCATGAGAATCCACCCCACCTTTGACCTTGTCAGCCGCTTGCTGCAGTAAAACACTGTGCTTGACCTGCACGTAACGCACGAAATGCTGTAATGTCTTTGAATGAGATCATTGCTTTGACAGCTGCAAATCAGGCACCTCTCGTTTTTTTGTTTGCAGCCGCCGATGGTATGTCATAGGCATATTAATATGACAAGCTTTCGTTGCCACTGTGATTGACCATCAATGTTGCCAGGTTGGATTTGTATAGCTCCCATTTGTTCAAGGACCAGCACAGGGACATTATATACATTTGACATATGCATTTCTTTTTGGACATTATATTTTCCCGAAACAGGTTGCCCACAGACAACTGGAGGGTTCTTACAGTGATTGCAAAGAGGGTTCGGTTAATGTTCGCGTTTGTTTCTTGGTCGTTCTTCGTTGACAGTCTCGTAAGAAGGTGGTAGTCTTATGTTTGTTGCATGGTCGTTTCGCAGGGGGGCTGGGCTGTGTCTTGCCTGGTTTGCAGTCGCACTCTCGTTGTAGTGTGCACATTTGTCGGGTTTGTGAAGCTCGAAGTGCACTTCCTTTTGTGGCAAGGTGGCGCTTTGTTACCCTCGATGTTACAAAAGTAGCAGGCGCAGCACTTTGTCAATTGTAAACCCTTGATGCGCAGATATATATCATGGCACACGCGGAGCTTTGTCAGCCTGAGAGTGCAGATTCTCGTGGCATGCGCAACATGTTTGAAGTGCAGACCTAGCGGAAAGCGGGAGTATTTAGCTGGTCTCGCAATTCACACCGCAGGAGGAAAGTGTTTATTCTTACTTAGTTACCGGGTTTTACAATATCGCGCTCTCTCTCTCTATATACATATATGTGAATCAGCCGCGGTCGAATTAAGAAGTCCATTTTGCGTGGCCAATGTGGGACGGTCAATGATCAACAGTATTCAACAGCTAAACAACATTGGACAGAGGAAATTCGACCATGTGAGGTGACATGAGCGTCCTGCATGATTCTATGGGGAAAGGGTTGTGATGGGTTGTCAAGTCGGAACCTTCAAGAAGAAGCGCTTTTGGCCTCGTGGTGTATTTTGCCAGGAGGCTCTCATGCGTGTGTCGTCATGTGTGACTCATATGTGTGCTGTCGTGTGTGTGTGTGTGCCCCTGTAGTCACAGGGATTCTTTTGAATTGTACACTGAGCTTTCTTCATTTAGAGCAGGGGGACACAGCATTTCACTGGGACTGTGTCCAACGAAGCTACCAGTGAAATGGGATATCCAGCTTGGCCAGCTGGACGTACCTGCAACAATTTTAAGATTTGTAAAGGGCTAATGCACTTGGCAGACAAGAGCGTACGTCGTCATGTCGACCTGATCGCCGCTTTCGGACTTGAGACTTTGGCCTTACCTCCGTTTGAAGACCCCCAGGCCCCTAGGTTCTCTTGAACCCTTCAGGATTTGGCTTCTTAGGCTGGCGAGTGGCTCCGCTTTCAGTTCAGTGCACCCTATCCTAAGAAAACCCCTTTCTTTTTTACTGTGATTTTTTCAATTTTTTCTGGGATTTGCTTCACATTTTTTCCCTTACTGCTTTTGCTTTTGCTTTTCGCTTCTGCTTCTGCTTTTGCTTTTGCCCTTTGCTTCTTCTTCTGCTTTTGCTTCTGCATCTGCTTTTGCATCTGCTTCTGCTTTTGCTTTTTGCTTCTGCATTTGCTTTTGCTTTTCCTTCTGCATTTGCTTTTTGCTGCTGCTTCTGCTTTTGCTTTTTGCTTCTACTTTTGCTTCTGCTTTTGCTTTTGCCCTTTGCTGTTGCTTTTTGCTTTTGCTTCTGCATCTGCTTTTGCATCTGCTTTTGCGTCTGCATTTGCCTTTTGCTTCTGCTTCGGCTTTTGCATTCTGCTTTTGCAATTAGAGCCTGTGCTGCTGCAAGTGGCCAGCTTCCACAGCTGTGCTGCTTGCAGTGGCCAGGGTCTAACGAGCGTGAGTTGCTGCAAGGGAGCTTCCACAGCTGCGCTGCTTGCAGTGGCCAGGGTCTAACGAGGGTGTGTTGCTGCAAGCGGCGAGCTTCCCACTCCTACGCTGGTTGCAGTCAAGGCCCTGTGCTGCTGCAAGTGGCCAGCTTCCGCAGCTGCGCTGCTTGCAGTGGCCAGGGTCTAACTAGCGTGAGTTGCTGCAAGGGGACAGCTTTCAACACTGCGCTGGTTGCAGTAAAGACCCTGTGCTGCTGCAAGTGGCCAGCTTTCACAGCTGCGCTGCTTGCAGTGGCCAGGGTCTAACGAGGGTGTGTTGCTGCAAGCGGCGAGCTTCCGACTCCTACGCTGGTTGCAGTAGAGACCCTGTGCTGCTGCAAGTGGCCAGCTTCCAAAGCTGCGCTGCACGCAGTGGCCAGGGTGTAACGAACGGGCGTTGCTGCTTCCAATGCTACGCTGGTTGCGGTACAGACCCTGTGCTGCTGCAAGTGGCAGCTATTCCAAGTTGACTACCCTTTGATGGCCCTTCCAAGTAGGCCCACCCTTTGGTGAGCCACCCGAGGGTAAAGTTTAGAGAAGGATGTTGCCATTCCAAGTTGACTAACCCTTTTGTCGGCACTGCTGGGGTAAAATTTAGAGCAGGATGTTGCCATTTCAACTTGACTCACCCCTTGTGTG